GGGTTGAATAGAGGTGGTGACTTTCTGAATTCTTAATCCGTCACCACACGGACCACTAAACAAATCGAACATATGCAAATAATAATACTTTATTACCAGGTATGGCGCTCATATCGTACAGAGCTCATTTCATCAATACGTCTTTGTACAGTGTTGTTACTCAAAGGAATTCTTTTGAGTATATCAAATGGAGATTTGTGCAAAACAGTTTTTAAAATCTCTTCAACAGCGTGTAAAATTAACTATTTTCCAATTATGTGCGGGTTTCCAGATTTCGCTATAAGTAATGAGATTTTCCTCCTTTCTAAGGAGAGGCCTATGTTCAGCAGTGGACTAGTAAAGGCTGTTGATGTTGATGAATGAGATATTGTAAGATGGCATCGTCGTTACTTTCAGATGTAAAAGCTAGAATACTGTGCACAGTGGGTCTCTCTTCATATTTTTCCTTCAAGGATTGATAATATTTCAAATCCATATATATTTTATCAGGATGAGACCGCATTAGAGGATCTTCGAGCTTCGATGGTTTCATAGAGTCATTGCTCAAAACTTTGTTGCATAAAAGGCATAGGGTAATCGTTGTCTGCCTTTTTTATGTTAGAGGGGGCAGACGAGCAGACGGGTCACCTGATGGAAGAAAACCAAATTTTAAATAATCAGCACTATACTGTCGACATTTCTTCTTAGATTCAGCTATCAGTAGATACCTGTAAATAAAAAAAACTTTGTTTTAGTAATCTAACTCAACAAGATATGGCTATTTTATCAGAAGAGGATTACCTTATTAATTATTGCAATGAAATCAACAAAGTACCGACGGCAAAGTGATTCTAATTATTAAAAGCAATAAATCGCTCCATAAAACTCTATTATGGATCTTAATCCATAATAGAGTTTTATGAATACGCCTGAACCGGTTTTAATGCAATGTAAAACATGTCTTCACAAATATATTTTGATATCAAAACGCCGCGATTTTAATTATTTATTTATTACTTTGATGCACGTTACGGGCACGTAAACATGCGTGCAATTTATAAAAAAAAATTTAATTAAGTCATTTAGAATTAGGGACTTGAAATATTTACAATCATGCAGGTCAATCCTAAAAATCTCTCATTTAGTGAACCACTACACGTCGGGTAAAAGAAATTCTTAGATTTATAGTGTTTTGTCTATGAAAGAAATGACTAAAAAAGTAGGGACAAAAAGTTCAACCTTTCTCGGCTTTTTGTTCTTTTATGAAAGTATCTAATAAAGTCACTGTTCAGTATTTAATTTTTAATACGTACCTACCACACGCAAACATTACAGATATACTTATTACAACATAAAATAAAAGTATGTATAACAAATAGGCAGGTAAATACTTAGTTTTGCCGACACTGGCAAACACTAACATCGATTCAGTTTACTTTTTTTCGAAATTCTGGAAACAAATGAGTTACGTTTATCCTTGGCATTCGTATTTATATTGGTGAAGAATCAAACTAGACACAACAACATTTCGTCCCTTTGCGCGTTTGAACAAGCGTTGCGGACTGTTGTTGTACTGAATATGGAATTTGCAAGATTTTACAAGTAACAGTCGCTGAACTTCTTAAAATATTATCAGCCTACATTAATAGGTGAAGTCAAGCCCACATTTTAGTTCTTCACTATCGAAAGCAGATAAATTTTCGTGGACCCCCGCTTACGCATTGTGAAACCCCCGTCAAGTCTCCCGTGGACCCCTGGGGGTCCCCCTAGACCACTTTGGGAACTTAGGTTACACTTTAGTTATATATACCTACTGATGTAGATACAATGTCGTACGTGTCAATAATTTAAATAGTAATTCTTTCGTAATTAACGTAATGGCCGCGGCTAATATAATTAAAGTAACATAAAAATCAATATGACAGGGCATGTCATAAATTAAATTATGTCCATTTACTTAATAATAATAGAGATAGCCCAGCGGCCGAACTTCGATCGTTTTGAATGTTATTTCATTGAACGGTATAACTTAAACTAGCGTTGTATAAAATTTTGTACCATGACAGATCTAAATATATTGGACTTTAACTTAACAGCAGACATTGTTTAAAATGTTAACTTTGGGAATTTCGTCTTCATATATAATTATCATTTATTTCAAATATAAAATGCTCACGTCAGTCGTTAAACAGGGCACAAATAATATTATTAATCTAGATAACAATTTCAAACGTGGGGTTGTTTGTGACGCGTACCTGCCTTTACTTCTTAAAAGATAAAGGTTATCAGATCAGGCGTATAGAAAATAATAGATGGTGCCTTGAACCCCTAGGGATACATACTCGTACTTAAGTTAATGGACAAAATAGAATTCAGAATAGTATTTTATGATATGATGTTTTGCCCTAAATTCCGATGTCTCTTTTTTTTTATCCCAACCGCCAGCCTGATGCCAACCCTCCATGGGATTGTAATCGTTCTTTTTACATAGTATGAAGCGAAATGCTATTAACCACGTGTTGCGGTCAAGTGCGAAGTAAAATTTTTACTAATAGAATGTCAATGCAGTAGTCATGATAAATGTAGGGTAATCCAGAGTCAAATGTAGGGAACGTCATATTAAAGAAGTGAGTCAGGGTTGAGTGACCTTAAGAAATGACCTGATATAGTTTTTTTTTCACATATTTTCTCTAAAACTAATAGAGGTAGTAAAGTGATGTCATAGCCAAACTGTAGACAATATTATGATAAATATTAAGTATCTATCGCAATCATTTTGCTTTTTTTGGACGTGGACACCTGCAAGTTGAGTCACAAATGCGTTGCCGCCTTTTCAGTCCCTCCCTCTTTTTTTTCTGTTCGGAAATCCCCTCGGATATCACCCGCCGGTGGGATGGTTATGTCGGACTCGAACCGATCAAAAACCGCACGACGTCTCGGGTACCAGTAGCCAGGTGTACCCTGAAAGGAAATCCTTGGTACCCCGGCAGTCCCTTCCCCAAAAACCAAGGGGAGGGTTAGGGTTTGGGTGCCGGTAACCTCAATTACTTGCTTAACACCGGTTTTCAGTAAGGACTTGGCCGAGCCGGCTGTGCCGAAGCATAGCTCTACCACTGCGGAAAAAGTATAGTATACCAAAGTAATAAAAAAAAAAAACACGTGTGCAACTGATAATGCAGCAGTACCATCCGTATTATAATTGTTTTCTCTGTTTTAAGAAAGACAACTCTCGCATTAGGAATATATCCCGTGTCGCGGGGGACTTTACAAACATACATGAAACGGACACAAATAACACCCAGATTTGGAACAAAATTTGTAGCCCGCATAAAGTTCTGTGCCACGCGTTCTGTGTTGGGATCGAACCCACAATACTCAGCGCAGTAGAAAGCGGCGGCGTAGCGATCGCTTAAACCACTTACGCCATCCGTGCAGTCTATGTATGCAGTAATAATGTGTAAATATGTTACAGTCAGAACTCTTAACCGGTCAAAAGTATTTAAATTTTTAACCGAAATTGAGCGTGTTGGTCTAGTGGACAGCGGGAGATTGATTAAAGCAATCAGAGAGAGTACTTCAATTCATTTAATTAAATTGGTAATATTACTTATCCTGCATCCCTACAAATTTTAATATCGCGATGCAGAAATTGACAAACATTTAACAACGCCATCTAGCGAGTGTACTAACTAAGTGACAGTTAATACGGGCTTGAACAGTGACCCTGACAGCCGTCGGAGGTTGTGGGTAAAATTCCCACCCAAGACAAGCATTTTTGTGATGAGCACGATCATTTTGTTCTGTGTCTGGGTGTAATTTATCTATACTAATATTTTAAAGAGGTAACGTTTGTGAGTTTGTATATTCGGGGTAATCTCAGGAACTACTGGTACGAACTGAAAAAATATTTTAGTGTTGGATAGCTCTTTTATTGAGGAATGATATAGACTATATAACATCATGCTACGACCAATAGGAACCGAGTATCAAAACAAAATGTTGCGAGAACGGGGAAAATTTATTCCTTTTGAAAGTAACACGAATTTGGTCAGATAGCAGGGTCAGATAGTCTATTATATGCATATGTATTTAGAAAACTTTAAGTATGTTTATCAGAAGTCTGGTTAACATAGTATAGGCTCTGCCTAGTTTGAGATCAGACAACCGTGTGAGATGTAAGACGTTATTAAAAAAAATAGTTTTGCCTGCTGCATACCATCTATTGTTGGTGAATCATTTGGGTTTGATGTTACAGTCAAAGTATTTTTGACTGATTTTGCCGGTTAAAAATGATGTTAACTGGTTAAGTGTTTTGACTGTAACAATACATCAACACCCATTAGGGACCATTAGTAATGTGCATGAATTCTGATGATACTGATATGCATGTACACAATTCATGCTTTTTAATGCACATAACTTCATGTTAGTCTACCATTAATTTTGAAGTAATAGCTTTTGACGGTAATATCGATGCGTTAATTTTGATTTTTTACGACTTCAAAATAAGGGAGGTTTTCTCTATTCGGGTGTATTTTTATATTTTTTTTATGATAGAACCGTTATTTATGAACGTTATGAAATAATCTTTTTTGTTTGGAAGAGTAGACTTCCCGTTACATCGACAGCCTTTAACAGTCCATTGCTGGACATAGGCAACTCCTTAGAAAGGAGGTTTTGGCCTACTATACCACGCTGGCCAGACGGGTTAGTATTAGTATTATTATTCTTACCTTTTGGCTTTCCTGAAAAAAGTAGGGAAAAACACTTATAGGCTATAATTTATTTATAATTTAAATAAGAAAAGAAATACAAACTTAAGTTTATACTTACGAAAAAAAACAAAACAAAACTTAGAGCCACATGTGTTGTGACTTTTTTAGGGTTCCTCAACAGGAAAACAAAATTGACTATAAGATTATTTTGCTGTCCATCTGTCTGCTTATCAATACTCTTTTTCTTAGGATACAGCCGTTTAAAACTTATATAAAAAATAAAATACTTCTCAAGGAACTACTATCATGAAGAATCAACTAAAATTATTGTGGGCAAAATGTGAGTATTTAAAACGCTTCTGTCTTCGCTTCCTCCGCTTCCTCTACGGGGCTGTGGGGATAGGTATAAACGTGAGTGTGTGTATGTATGTATTTTTATTATCATCATCAACAGTCTTTAACAGTCCTCTCATAGACATAGGCCTCTCCTTAGAAAGGAAGATAAGTTTACCTTTCGGAAGAAAAGCAATAATCTTCGAGAATCGATTCCCGTGGCGTAGTGGTTTAAGCGGTCACATCGCCGCTTCTTATGCTACGCTAAGTGTTGTGGGTCATCACATTGTGTAATCCAAAAATTGTGGTCCTGAGTCTGGGTGTACTTTGTGTCCTTTTCATGTATGTTTGTAAAGTCCCCCGCGACACAGGATTATATTCCTAGTGCGGGAGTTGTTAAAGAACAAAAAAATAAAAACAGAATTAAGAAAATTAAAATATTACGTGTGACACTCAATATAAAGGTATCATTATAAAGGCAGACTTGCTGGTCAGTTGTAATTCAGTGCGAAGCCCAAAACATTCAATACGTTAGTTCATCTGACTCTCAGGAGGTGGTCTGGTTGTCTGCTCTTTACATTTTGCATTTTCAAATATGTTTATTTATTTTATTTATTTATCTCTTTATTGTACATCATGGAAGTATTATATATACAGATATTAATTACATTTCGGTATAACAATAGGCGGTCGTATCGCTCACGGCGATCTCTTACAGACAACCTTTATACGGATATTGTCAAAAAAATTAGGGTAGCCTGGGATGTACAATTACAACAAATTGAAAAAATAAATAAAAAATACTAATAAGAAACATAAGGTTACTAATACTGATATATACGTTTACAGTATATAATACATACAACTAATAAATTTAAATACAGAGTTACATAAATACACAAATTCCTCTATGATGCCAAGTAATGATTTGTGACTAGCTTTTTAAATGTTTGCAGTGATTTGGCTTGTCTAATTGCTTCCGGTAGATTATTCCACAGTCGAACTGCTTGCACTGAGAACGACTTGTCAGTAAATATGTTCTTTGTTTTGTTGACTAGAACAAAAAAATGAGCTGGAGTCCCAGGCTGAAGCAGACAGCCGCGAGGACAGCGCGTGGGCTGGACGCGCCAGTCCTTCCGCTGCTGCCTTCCCGATGCAGAACTCCAGCCATGTCAAGTTCGAGCCGCCTAATGTGCCTGTTATTTTCGTGCTTGGTGAGTATGCTCATTAACCCTGACGTCTTACAAGGACCCTCCCAATGCCATAAAGCTATAAACCATAGGGTTTATGGCATTAATGCAGGTAATAACTAATAGAACCTAACGTATGTATTTTTTTCTTATGGTAACATTCTCCGATTGATTAACGATCAAAACTTCTCGTATATTTATATAAATTGATATATATGTGTGTAAATTATGTAAATTTATATCATTCCTAAAATGAGCCACGTTCCAGGTTCGTCATGTCATGACACCTTTTTTTTTTTCCGTGAGGAAATCCCCTCGGATATCATGTCATGACACCTAACATTTGTTTAGATGTCAATTTTATGTAAAATATTAACAAACAAACACAATGATAGAATATAGGGAATCCCTTTTCCTTAAAAGATAGACATCAAATTTATACTTATCATAGACTGTATGAAGAACATAACCGCTGCTTACTGGCCCGAGAAGATCTCCAATGAAGATCTGTTGGAACGCTGCCACTAATCACTCTGCGTAGGGACCCCGAGCATATCGCCAAACAGGCACTGGTTTTAACCCGCAAGGAAAACGAAAGCGTGGCCCCCAAAGCAAACTTGGCGGCGCACTGTCGCAGATGAGGTGAAGAGAATCGTCAAGACGTGGAGTGAGGAACGCGATGTAGGACTACTGAGGACGCCCTCTGCCCCATCATTAAGTCAATTCATGACCTCCTTATAAATACTCTTATAAATATATCTCCTTATAAATAGTCTTTGCCTTATAAATACTCATTGTGATCCATACTTCAGTTTGCTTTTTATGATACTTAAAGGCATTTCGGCCACAAACATGATCTTGGACCCGCTTTACAAACACAAAATCTGTGAAAGCATACACCGTGTTATTCACTATCCCGATATTACGGGACCCTCTACTCTGATAATATAAACAAAACGTTAAAAAACGTTGTTTTTACAGACATGCATGTGACTACCAACTGTAAGTAACGAAAATACCTACTGCAGTGTTCATACTAAGTCTGATAAAAAAAATATTAGCTTAATTCCTTTACACAGTTTGGTGTTACCTATTTGTGATTGAAAAGCAAAATTGCCTGTCTTAGGAGACAATTGTTCTCTCTTTCTCTTCTCCACCCCTTTTTGTGCGTGCGTGTGTGTATCTTAGCATGAGTGTGTACGTATGTATGTGTGTATTTGTGTGCACGTGTGTATCGGTGTCGATTTTTTTAACTTAATTTTTTTAACCATAACCTATGTAAAGCCATTCTTTCTTAACATTTCACCGGGTGAGTAAGATTACCGAACCGGGTCCCTAATTCTGAGCCTCAATTCTGCTATTTTAATATCGTATCAATAGACTGTCTATGGAATTTCTCGAAGTTTTACACTTTTCCTATTCTACTAACTGTGTAAGACCAATGTAAAGGCCTCCCGATGAATTGTCACTGATACAAATGTCGTCGATGTCTTTGTAACAGTTTGGTAAACGGTACATTTTACATTTTTAAGAAAATGATATATAAATAATTTTCCAGGTATAGCAATGTTGTTGGTATCACCATTGATGACCTATATTACTATATCGACAGTCTATTGACACTGTGAATTTATGTTAGTAGAATACTGATATTTTGACCGATGTCAATGGCGTCTCAATGGCATCTCAATACCGTGTCAGTAGAATGACAGTGGCTTGGCGTTAACATAAAATAGCAGAATTGAGACCCTGGTAATGGCCAGGCAAGGCACTTGTGGCCCTGAAGTTGCGGTTGTCCTTGGGTAGCGATAGTCACTTGCTTTGGAGTGATCCTTTTTCTCATCTGCCCCCTACACCATAAATAAAAAAAGATCACTTGTAACGTAGGTCAAACATTCCTAGTATTCTTGTTAACCCCTCCAGCTTAGCTGCAAATGATTGAATGAATGATTCCTGTTGGTAGCAGGTAGGGTTCGAACCAGCAACCATTTTGACCGCAAGTCTGATGATCTAACTTTACGGCTCATTCACTTAAATAGATCGAAGTGTCTCGTTATCATAATAAGTAAGTTTAGTAGTAACAGTCATCCTAAACAGTTTCTCGTTAAGGAATTTATTATTTGTAAACGAAATAAACAATTACCTTTGATCTTCTGCCTAGTTTAGTAATAATAAACTGATAGGTTTCATATTACTATGATTTAAAAGAAAGCTATTCCCAGATCCCAGTTGTAGTACGTTCGACTCTGACGCGCCACTGAAAACCCTGGTAGGGTGACACATGACGGTCCGACAAGGTTTCCATGCTTAAAACTAAAAAAGGGACTTTTGTATAGAACATTACCATTCTTCTTGTAATATAGGTTGATATTAATAAAGATGAATACTGTTTAACATAAGTTGATGACTTTATAATATTTCTATTCGTTTTGAATATACTTCGTTTAATGGTATCAGAAGGCGGCATCTCGTAATAAAAGTTCCGTTAAAATTCAGTTCCGATCAAATTTCGATCTCACAACTGTCATAAAAAGTATTTTCTTAGTAAAGTATTAAACATTCAACGTTGACTGTAATGTGATTATATCGTATTGTGACCGAAAATTGATTTGGTAATGTAATAGTCTTAGTATTTAAAAGGGCGATAACTTTAATGATAAATAGTAAGTACATACATGACACAAGGGCAAGTTTCATAGCCACGACTACGGACGAGACCACTATGTGCGGATATGTTAAACAGTGATAGAAAAACATAACATCTGACAAAATAAATAACCAAGAAACGCAGAGCCCTTAAACTTGCCCTTGACAATTCCCAATTTTTAGTGGTTTTCAAAATATAACTAATGTTTACTAATCTCGCTCATTCGACTTAGGTATCCTTGATTACTCTAACTGTCTATACTAATATTACCTACACATGAAATTTTTGATATATCATGGATAGGTGGAGGGATGCATGCTTTTTGGTTAATTACGTGAAAACGGCTAAATGAAATTGGATAAAGCTAATAATATTATAAGTGCAAATCCAAGTTTTGAAGTGATAGTTATCACTACAAAACTTGCATTTCTTACGGGAGGGTAAACCGCTTCGTTACGTAACGCGTTACGGCGCCAGTTTGTCTGGCTTCCCTTTCTCCCACTCATTCGGCAGCGGTAGGGAGGCTCCACTCTGACCCACAGCGCTAGCCGTATTTTAGACAGACGCTTTACATAAAATTTTAATAAAATAACCTAAGCTTTTCTCAAGTTAAACGATTTCAATATTAAATGGTTCAACTTAGATTAGTTTAAGCTATCACTTATGACGGGCGTCCCGAGGCACATACGTTTTTTTTTAATTTGTTCGTTGGTAACGCTTTCACGGCTAAACTACTCAACCCATCATTCTCTTACTTGCTCATTTTCTGAAAGAAGAAGTAGGAATACTTCTTTTCTAACTACTTCTTGTTATGCAGGTGGTCCAGGCAGCGGCAAGGTGACACACTGCGACAACCTGATGCAGGAGCGGCGTGGCGTGGTGCACATCAACATGACTGACCTGCTGCATCAGTACGCCGTCGGCAACGGTACTACTGACGATGGTTTGCACCTTCTTAGTATAGATTACACTTATCATTCTAATAAACTAGACTTGGAATGTAGTTTAGAACTTAATTGCACACCTAAAAACATTTTAATGATTTAGACAATTGACGTTCTTATTGCATTGTGGTAGCCTCTTACAGGCCACCATAGAATGGATCGAATATAAAATGTTGATCTTTATAGTCCATTCAAGTTAAGAAAATAGTGACGTATTGATCAAGCTCCAGCCCCTGACCAATCAGGTACGAAGAAATTATCGTTTCGTACGAAAGCTTGGAACCTGATTGGTTAGGGTGGCGAATGGACTATAGTATTTTGTATATAAGGTTATTGTGAATATTTGAAGATCAACCTAAAGTTAAAACTCCTTACTAGTCTTTTTTTTAAAGATAAGATATGCACGCAGATATTTGTACTTTGCGGAAATACTGTAGTTTTGCACTATTGCAGCACAACATATCGCTTAATATTTCTATAGCACTAATAATAATGAAACGTATTTTTTTTAAACAGCTAAATAACAATTCCTGTAACACTCGGTAGAGTTTCTTTTAAAAGACAACTCGCGCACTGTAAATATATCCTGTATCGCGGAGGACTTTAAAGACATACATGAAACGGCCACAAAGAACACCCAGACTCAAAACAACAATTTGTGGAACACGCAAAGTGTTGTCCTTGATAGGATCGAACCCACAGCACTCAGCGCAGTAGGAAGCGGCGAGGTGACCGGTTAAACCCACGGATTTGGTTTAACATTCATGAATGTGCATATCGAACACTCACATTTTGCTAACTATATTTCGGTTGCACATAGGTTATTGCCCGGGTAAGCCGTGTGAACTGTGAACTGCTGGGAAATGAAAATAAGGAAAGGTCAAGGTAGATAAAATTAAACCGCAATCTCTTACAATTAGGTTATAGTTCTGTTAGTTTGACATTTATGGCGTAAAAAGCCATGTGATACTAACGTTAAGTGGGTTTGTGTTCGCTTTAAAACCTCAAAAAGTTCTGCACCGTTTGATCTCAAATTTAGACACGATATACATATAACACGTTTCAAAGATGGTTTTTATCTATTTTGTTCTTCATTGCTCATTAATGCAACCACAATACGCCATAGCAAAGCATGGCAAGGTAGCTATAGCTAGTTTTATATAAAATAATTCGTTTAACATACTACCGTGACTAATTTCAATGTTGCAACTATTTTTGCATGTACGTTGCACATACGGTCCAAAAGAATGCTAGTAAAGGTCAACTTAAATGCTATATTTATTGATTGCATTTAGTGTTTTGAACACGGTATACGGTTAAATTATTAGAAAAGTATATTTTAATCCAATTAAGATCAAAAGTTTTAAAACAAATGACCATATATATAAAGTAAAATAACTAGAGATCGTTGTCGTTCGATCGTTGATGGAAATCGATCGTTTTGAGTGTCTTTTATTTCGGTGACCGTTATAAACATCAATAGTCAAAATATATATTGCACCTCTATTTCGCACATTCACGCGTGCGCGTCTACCCGCGTTGGATGTGCTCTCAGTGCGTAAAAATGTCATCGACTACGTTGAAATGTAATGTGTGTAATATTGTGATTGATGAGCTTCTGGCTTATATACAGAACAAAATCTCGGTGTCCGACGAGGAAACCATAGTGAAGATATGTGCATCAACATTTGCGAGTGAACAAATAGAAAAATCAAACAAGTTGCTGCTCGAATCCCTACCCGCTGAACTGAGGAAATCAAATAGAAAAGGAAAGGGTAAGGAGAACCGTATATTGACCGATATAATAAGCATGTTAAAAGGGACAGACATAGAATTATTGCCAGTGTTTGTAGCACGCGAGTTGGAAAAGTTACCACCTCTAACTCGATCACTTAGATGTCAGCAAACTCCTTAAAGATCTGGCTCTAGTGCAAGCCGAGGTTCGACTGATTAAGGAGTCATATGTAACAAGGAGTCAAATAGAAGACTTTAAAAATGAGTGTAATCGTAATATTACGTCGTCTTCATCGTCAGTCCCGGGTGCAGGAATAAACTTGAAGAGCGGCGCATACCGTGACCGCTCGCTCATTTATTTAAAAAGTAAGCATGATACGGCCGTTGATGATAAATGTGGCAATCAATTTTTGGATCACGAAGCAATTAATACGTCACATAAAAAATTCACCAATTTAAATTACGGTGAAGGTAGAAATATGCCGATACCGTGGCCGACTCAAAAGGATCGCTGCGAGTCAGCCGAAAGTAAACGAGCGCGGCCGAGCTCGGCCGACGGCTGATGCGTCGATGGAGGTGAAGAAGGCGGGTCCGCTACGTCACCGCCACCGCCAACTGCAAGCGGTGCAGCCGATCAGCTGTTAAATAACAATGAAACAGGCTCTTATGCGAGTATCGCACAACGAAAAAAGGTGGCAAACAATGGATGGACGGAAGTGCGACGCAGAAAAAATCCCAATTACCGCTTACTAGGCAAAAAGGGTTTGGCTTCGGTTGAGATTGAAGATAAATTCAAATCGGCGGAAAGGAAAATGCCGATGTTCATCACAAATGTTAGTAAAAGTACTACCGAAGTAGATATTATTGAATATATAGAAAAGAAAACTCAAGAAAAAGTAGTACTAGAGAAAATATCTATTAAACAACAACGTGACTATAACGCCTATAAGTTTTTCGTAAATTTAAATAAGTTGCCATTATACTTAGACGAGAAACTATGGCCACACGGCATTGTCTTTCGAAGATTCGTGAATTTTAGGCCGAAACATGAAGTGGAGACTGTCGGACATAAGAATGACAATTAATGGACGAGCAGACCCACAAGTTTATTACATTTAATTGTAAAAATGTAAAACGTTCTTTGCAAAACATACGGGATTTGTGTAAAAGCTGCGATTTGATAGCGCTACAGGAAACCTGGTTATTGCCGAACGAAATTTCTTTCCTGGATACCATTAGCGAAGACTTCAGCGCGACAGGGGTATCAGCAGTGGACCTATCCAACGGCATCTTACACGGTCGTCCATATGGAGGTGTTGCGTTGTTATGGAGGCGGAAAGTTTTTCAGGAGGTAACCGTTGTTCAGTGTAGTAACCCGCGTATCTGTGCTGTGAAAATAACGTCGAAAGATAAAGCTTTTCTAGTGATGAGTGTTTACATGCCTGTCGATGTGATTGTGAATCTAGCGGATTTCACGGACATACTTAGTTCGGTAAGTGCTATCATAGATAACTGTAGCGTCGATTGTGTTTATATGTTTTATATAATGCACATCCCGCCGAACTGTTTTATAATGAACTTATAAACTTTTGTGCGGATCGGACATGGTCTTGCATAGATATTGATATGTTAGGTTCGTTATCGGAAACATACACATTTTTAAGTGAGTCACACGGTTCTAAACGATGGCTCGACCATTGTCTCGTAACTCAGGTTGCTGTAAAAACAGTTAAGAATGTTTCGGTACTGTATGATGTTCTATGGTCCGACCACTTTCCACTTGTCATAGAATGTAATTTAAATATGTTACCACCAAAAATTTATAATGTTAGGTTTTCACAAAATACATCCGTATGGGGTGAAAGAAGTGTACAGGAAATAGAAAGTTATCAAAATGAATGTAATTATGGACTGAGACATATAGCTTGCCCACAAGTATTGACTAACTGTTGTGATAAAATTTATAATGATATTACTCATAGACTTTCAATTGATAAGCTTTACGTTGACGTTGTAACTGCGCTAACCGAGGCGGCCAGGGTGGGTCGAGGAAGCAGCAAGCGTATACGAAGGAAGTATATTACAGGATGGAACAAACATGTCGCTGAGGCTCACAGCCAGGCTAAACAATCATTTTTGATTTGGAACTGGCATGGTAAACCTACCAGTGGTAAAATTTATATAGATATGTGTGAGACCAGAAAAATATTTAAATCTCGTCTAAAATGGTGTCAGGATCACGAGCGACAAATTAAATTAGATATGCTGGCAGGAAATCATTCAAACAATGATTTCCGCGCTTTCTGGAAAAATACTAATAGACTGAGTTACAAGTCGGGGCTGCCTGAGAGCGTCAGTGGGGTGACAGATCCTAAAGATATTGCTGATCTCTTTAGGGATCATTTCTACGTAAAATCACCGTTGGGACCTTCTCGGATGACGATCAGTAGAGAGGCCGACATGGATCCAGGGATTCATTTTGAAGCCCAAGAAATTACCAAATTTATCAATTCTATGACTAAGGGCAAATCTCCCGGCCATGACGTTCTCAGTATAGAGCATCTCCGGTATGGGGGACTCCATCTGCCAAGAGTGTTGGCACTGCTGTATTCGTTATGTATGACGCACAGCTATATGCCTGGGGATATGCTGCGCACTGTGGTGGTGCCTATAGTCAAAAATAAAACTGGCGATCTTGCCGATGTTTCGAACTATAGGCCCATATCCTTAGCCACGGTTATTTCTAAGGTGTTTGACGGTATGCTTAATATGCAGTTGAATAAACACATCCATCTCCACGATAATCAATTCGGTTTTCGTTCAGGCTTATCAACGGAAAGTGCTATACTGTGTCTTAAGCATACTGTGAACTACTATGCAAAGCGGAACACTTCAGTGTATTGCTGTTTTCTCGACCTGTCTAAGGCATTTGACTTGGTTTCGTACGATATTTTATGGAAGAAGTTGGAAAAATGTGAATTACCGACTCCAATGATAAACACAATTAAATACTGGTATGGTAATACAATTAATAATGTCCGCTGGGCAGGTACTTTATCGCATCCGTATGGGTTGGAATGCGGGGTGAGAGAAGGGGGCTTGACCTCACCAACGCTTTTCAACCTGTACGTTAACGAGCTGATCGGTGAACTTAGTAGTGCAAAAGTCGGATGTCATATTGATGACATATGTATAAATAATGTCAGCTACGCAGACGACATGGCGCTGCTAAGTGCGTCGCCATGTGGCCTGCGAAGGCTTGTTCACATATGTGAGAAGTACGCCGAAAGTCATGGCCTGGTGTACAATGTTAAGAAAAGCGAGGTCATGGTTTTTGAGGCTAAGGATGGCCCTTAAGAATGTGCCACAGATACTTTTAAATGGGCATCCATTGAAAAGGGTATTTAAAGTTGGATATCTAGGGCATATTTTAACTCCTAGCCTCAAAGACGATGAGGATCTGGAAAGGGAACGGAGGGCGTTGTCGGTGAGAGTGAACATGTTGAGCCGCAGGTTTACACATTGTTCGAATAATGTTAAGATCACACTCTTCAGAGCTTACTGCACGTCTTTCTATACGTGCAGCCTGTGGGCTACATATACTCGAAAAGCATACAACTCTCTCCGTATCCAATACAACAATGCGTTTAGGGTGCTGTTGGGGCTAACCCGCTTCTGTAGTGCGTCCGGGATGTTCGCAGAGGCGCGAGTGGACTGCTTTCACACTATTATGCGAAAACGGTGTGCATCTTTGGTGAGCAGGGTGCGGGCTAGCTCTAACAGCATACTAGCCATGATCACAGAGAGGTTAGATTGCAGGTACATTGGTCACTGCAGCGCCGTCTCTCATGGAGTGCATAAATAAAAATATTAATACTGTAAATTGTCTCTACTAACATAGGATAAGTTTTATGTATTACTAACAAGCAATGAGTCATGGTTACTCCAATAAAATGATTATTATTATTATTCTCTTTATTCAATTATATATACATATTAATTACATTTTTAAATATATTACAAAAGAAATAAAAATACATTTAAAAATATAAAAAATAGTAGACCACCGACATCGGGTACAGGTACCAAGACACCAGTGGTTAGGACTGCAAAGATAGGAACCTCCTTACTATACGAGCCGTGTCAAGGAGGACTGCCTTCTGTATAAGACCCTTGATCCAGCCGTCCAACGTGAGCCTCTTAAGGTGTTGGTCGAGGCTCTTGGCTATCAATCCGTGAGCAGATACGACTATCGGAACAATTATCACTGAATCGACATTCCACATATCGACAATCTCGTGAGGTAAATCCAAATATTTTATTTGTTTTTCTTTTTCAACTTTCACGAGATTCTCGTCATGAGGAACGGCGATATCAACAATAATTGCGCGGCGCTCTAATCGATCTATCACTACAATATCAGGCTTATTAGCAACAATAGTCCTGTCTGTAATAATAGATCGATCCCAATACAACGTGGCCCGACCATTCTCGAGAACTGGGTCGGGCACATACCTGTAGTATGGCACCTCTAGATTCACAAGATGGTATTTAAGGGCAAGCTGTTGGTGTACAATCCTGGCTACTTGGTTGTGCCTATGCAAATATTCACTGTTAGCAAGACGAGAACAACCAGAAATGATATGCCTGATTGATTCCCCAGGACGGTGACATGCCCGACAGATGTCAACCGTACCATCTTTCAGGATATATTTCCGATAGTTATTCGTCATGATAACTTCGTCCATAATCGCACAAACAAAACCTTCAGTTTCTCCGAAGAGATCACCATACCGTAGCCAAGTCGTAGATGCTTTAAAGTCTATATCGGACCCGTTTAGGGCCCGATAAAACCTTTGCCCTTCCATACTTCCCTACGATCATTAGTACTAAATACTACAGGTTTGCGCCAATTCTCTTTAGCCAGAGCGAGCGGGGTGAATCCGATATCCACTGCAACTACATTGCGATGCATTCCCACATCGGTATGTAGAAAATATTCTCTGAGATTGCATATCTCCCGATTGTGTAGGGTCTTGATATTTAATAATCCGCGACCCCCTAGCTTTCGCGGGATATACAATCTCATAACCGATGAACGTGGGTGGTGCATTCGAAATGCAGTCAGCAATGTACGGACTCTCCTATCAAGGGCATCTAGTTCGGTCTGAGTCCATTTAAGTATACCTTATTATTATTATTATAGTTCATGTAATTGTTTTCATGTGCGGGAAATAATTCGTTTATGTTATAGGTATAACATATTCGTCATACGTATCAGGCTATGCCATATTAATACCATAGTGCAGGCTCTGCCTAGTTTGAGATCGGATGGCCGTATGTGAGATGTTTTTCTCTGTCGTGTGGCTTTTGGCGGTGTGGTCGTGGTCAAGTTGAGATGTCCACGTCGGTGGCAGAGGCGGACAAAGCCTTTCGAACAAGCTCCCGCCATCTCTACCTGTTGGCAGACTTTCGGATACAGTCATACACGCGGCTGCCCATTGCGGATTTCACCTGATCGGTCCAACGCATAGGTGCCCTGCCGCGGCATCAGGGTCTCCTT